CATATTATTGAACTGCACTGTCTTTTTTACCTCCACCTACATCCTGTTTGTCAAGTTGTTTTCATTCCTAAGTTTTATTAATAACAAGCATGCAAGAAAAGTGGAAACATCAGATGCAAATCAGCAAAAATAAATGAATATGAGATAATGAAACGAAATCATCATCATCATTTATATTTTGATGATTTTGATTTGTATATTTAATATTACTTTTGTTGATAATGTGTGAAGTTAAATGTGCCTAGTGCAAAGCATAAACCAAAACAGCCAAAACAAATTAGTATTTTTTTAATATTATATTATATTATATTATATTATATTATATTATATTATATTATTATATTATTATACATTTTGCACTTACTCATTTAGGAATCATCAAACCAAACATTTGTAGTTTATCTCCAGTGTATAGTCTATTTCTTCTCAGCCGTAGTTTGATTAAAGTATTCCAGGGATAGAACGGGACAGGTATGCTTTTCCCAGCAGGCAGTGGGGCGATCGGTGCCAGCCCTTCATTTGCTGAGTGTTTGTGTTTATGCAAACAGAGGCCCTCTTCCTGCATATTCAATCTTCGACTCAGGCTTTTGTTGTGTTTAGACCACATACCTCCAGCCCCCGAGACGAGAGTGCATGTGTATGCGAGCCAGAGAGCGCGAACGGGGCAAGGCTGCTGGTTGCATACTGCTCGCACCTCACTTACAACTTGATATAGAGGCAGCTGGTGAAGACAGGACTTTTGTTATAGTGCAGATCAAAGTGTGGGACGCTGGAATTGTTTGGATTTGTCTTGTGGAGCACTGGGTTATGTTCATGGGTAAGTGTTCACAGACTTTAAGCGATGCATTTACTCTCCCTCTTGCTTGCTGGGCTAAAAATACTGTCTTAAACGCTTACGTTTCTGACTGTGCACCTCGGATCCCCCTCGTTCTCACTGTCTCACTCTCTTTTTCTGAGCAAACCACACGGTGTCTGCCTCCACTCTTTCCTGTCCAATTAGATCTTTGCCTCAAAAGGAGAAGTGAATCTGTATTGAGAGATTTTGCGCTTTCCTCAGTCACTGTGCTTACTCTCACTCTGTCTCTGTACATGGAAATGGAATTTGTGGGTTATTGATATTAATAGTGGTGCACAGGATCTGTGGTCAAAAGAGAGAAGAGAACGGATGAGAAAAAGAGAGAGCAAGAGAAAAAGAAGGCGATTGGTGGGGGAGAAAGAGGAAACGTGATGTCAGAGGAGACGTTAAAGCATGGTTGAGATCATACAAAGAAATTAACCATAATTATTAATGATATGGTAAAAAAAGAAGTATGTGTAATAGTTAGGAAAGCTATAGAAGTCTTTATTTAGCTCTTCTCTATCAGCCAGTCTTCTATCTTCAGTGTCACATGATACTTCCGAAATCATTCTCATATGCCAATTTGCTGAAACATTTTTTATTGTTAGTAATGTTGAAAGCTGAGTAATGTTTTTGTCAGAACAGTGATATATTTTTTCAGTATTTTTTTAATGAATAGAAAAGTTCATAAGAACAGCATTTATTTGAAAGATAAATATTTTTTAACATTATAAATGTATTTGCTGTCAATTTAATACATTCTTGCTGAATAAAAGTATTCATTTATTTAAAATAATGAGTAATAAATAAAAAATAATAAATAACTGTAAATAATAATAGCATAATAATAGTAAAATAATAGTAATAATAGTAAAAAAATCTAAATATTAGTTTCTCTCAACTTTTGAATGGTAGTAGTCTATATATCGGCAAGACAGATTAATCGGCAGATATTTGGCCATTTCTTCTGAAATATTTGTAAATGGATAATGCACATTTTATTATTATTATTATTTTATTTTATTTTTTTGCATTTAGCATTTTGTAGATTTAATAGAAGTTTATTAGAAAAAAATCTCCCAGACATTTTAAAGAATGTTCACTCTGTTCTTTTCCCTTTTTGACAGAAGCTCCATACGACTTGCTTGCAATATTTCAAGGGCCAGATTTACTATCCAGCTTGCACCAGCGCAAACCCTCCTTTGGCGTTAAAAACTACTGTCAGGAATTACAAAAGACACGAAGTGGGAAATTGGCGCTGAAAAGGCGTGGACAGTTATTTTTGCAACTCACCTTATTGAATATGCATTTGCAGGAATTTCCTTTTCGATCGGTAAATTTATGGGAGGAGAGTATTTAAATGAATCACGCAACGCGATTTACTAAGATTTGCATTCGTCAATTCACTGGTATTTGCATCGTTATTTAACACCCAAAAAATAATTTTCTTTTTTGTTTTACAGAGGAACAAAAGGAAACTGTTCCTCTAATAGTTTTACACAACACCATTCTACAATATTTTTGTGCAGTGCTTGTCAGAGGACACTGGATAGATTTGCTTCCTTGACCAATAGGGGAGAAGAGGAGCTGGTCACAGCCTATGAGCTGCACTCAATCTCTGCATAAATTAATATGCTAACGAAGCAGGAATGTTCATTTATGACCCCACCGCAGAAGTAGCCACAGATATGCTATTTAAGCATTCGCAAACCGATTAATGGAATGACTTTGCTTGGTGGTAAATATTCATGTGCTCATGTGTTTTTGGTGAAGTGAGGAAAGAGATGGTCCATTAGATGGACTGAAGAGGCGTTCATAATGACTACCAGGGCCTTTTCCATTAGGATTGGCTTGGTTTTAGCCAGGAATCGGTTGGAGTGTGTGATTCGACAGCCTGTACAATGTAAATGCGGTCGAATAAGAACAACATTTTGCAGAAGTCCTCTTCAGGTCTGCTTTTATAAATGAGATTGTTGATATTCATGTGCATGATATAATTTTTAGCCATCATTGTCATGTATGACCAAAGTTTTTACAAAGTTTTTACAAAGTTTTATATTTTTAATATATATATATATATATATTAGTGGTGTCAAAATGGTGTCGCGTCCGGTGTAGAAACGGTTCACTGTTCCGCTACTGTTATTACTGTTATTACACTTGTATACAAAACTTCGTATTATGCTTGTTATAGAGTGCGTGACGTCACGTGCACTACCGCCGGTGGCAGTAGACAACGGTGACGCGGTTGTCACGGCGACCGTCACAGCCCTAGAAATAAATGGCATTTTAAACTATATTAAAATAGAAATAGTTATTTTAAACTGTAATAATGTTACTGTATTTTTACCCCAAACTTTTGAAAAGTAGTATAAATGATCTGTAACGAAAACAAACAATTAGGTAAATATCACTTTAATGCAATTATACAAAAAGTGTCAAAATATGTAATTATGTGTATTTAGGATATATCAACAACTTTTGGACACTGTTGGACATTGTTTGACAAACTAGTGAATTTGAAAATTGAGTTAATTAAGTCCAAAGGGCCAAAATTGTCTATAGTTGAAGAAACACCTTTATACAAGAACTTACAGTTGTTGTTTTTTCCCTGTCTGTTTCTTTGCTATTATCTTCAGACAGTATTTAGCCCTTGTGCTCATTTAGTTGTCTCTCTTGCCGTGTTTCCTTCATAACACACCCATGAAGCCGATCATCTCAGCAGTTCCCCGAGCACCAGAGTGCTGGTTCTTTTCCTTCTCCAGCTGGGTCTAACAGTATGAGCGTATTTATTCACTCCCCAGGCCTCCACCACCCCGCTGCTCAAAACACCAGCATTACCTCCAACTTCATGCATTCAGTCTGGACTGTTATCGATTTAGCAACACATTACGGTGTTAAAAACTGAAAGGTAACTGCTGTTGTGCGTTTCCCCCCCCCCTTCGTTCTCAATGCAAAATGTTCTCGTCATTAGGACGAGAGAACATTTGTCTAAATGAGCGTTAGGCATTTCAGTAAACTCATTTAGCACCTGAGACCTTAGCAGGTGATTTGAATAAATGATGTTTAGCTTTTTAAGCTGAAAAATTCATCACCTGTCACCAAGAGCCATTGATTCATAACAGCAGGGATGACATGTTAATTGAAGTCTAATGAATTAGAATGAGAGAATATGGAATCAGCACAAGATACGCGGAAAAGGCATACGGTCCTTGTGGTGGCTGGTGTTTTTAGTCACTGTAAATGCTGACCACCCACCTTAACAAGGGCATTGAACAGATAATTGATGCAAGAACATGGACCGGCTGTACCAATGTGTTTTATCTGCGCTCACTTTACCTGAGATAAACAGAATCACTCTGCTCAAACGGCCAGCCACTGTTTTGACTGCCAAATGTAAACTGCATATTTTTTCACGTTCGGCTAAGCTTTCATGCTTTTATTCAAATGCCCAAGGGATGCTGGCCTATAGTATCTTTCTCAATAGTCTAGCATGAGAATATGCTCTTAGAGTATATTGAGACTGTAAATGTGAGCTTGTTTGCCTCACTGGCTTTTAGGAGGAGGTACTTTATAATACTATGGTACTTTATAGGTACTTTAAAATACTATGACACTTTGAAACTGAAATTCATGCATTATGGGTTTTATGTTGTATTCCATGGTACTTCCAAGAATAGTAGTGTGACACCATGCCCAAAAAATTATACTTTTTCAAAAGATTTCTATTTTTTATATGTCCAAAAAATGGTATTGTTATGATATGTTTTGTTACTTGTTTTGGTAACTAATCTAGTTTTAGCAGCAGATTTATTGTAAACTCTACTGTACAACTGTTGCTTGATATAAAGTTAAAGTTTAACCCTGAAAATGAAATGGATTAATAAGGGCGATGAATCACACATTTCCATATTGTATTTAATAGTTAAAATATAGCCTAAAAGTGTGTTTTTCTGTTCTCTCAAGTTCTGTTTAGTAGATGATGTGCTTATTCGGTATGTCCACGATTGAGTCCTCATTAGTTTATCTGCACCATCAAAATAGCTTACCAAAATAGCTTACTTTTAATGTCATTTTGTACGCACAGAGATGACTGATGGTTTGTGACAGCTGCAGTAATTTTACATCTACAGCTTTTCCTCTGTGCTTGTTGTCTCTGCAGGCCGGGGAGGTTAAACGCAGCGCTGGAACTGAAGACGGCCGCAAATAAACAAGTCCTTGGAGAAGGTAAACAAATGATTAGTTATTAGACTCCAGTGGAGCTGTGTATGAGTGTGGATGCACGTGTGTGTGTGTGTGTGTGTGTGTGTGTGTGTGTGTGTGTTTGTTTACAGAGGTCATTTCTTGTGCTATTATTCTATATCTAGTTTAATGAGTCACTTGATTTGTTGCAGCTCTTGTGTTTGTATGCTTTTCTCAAGGTTGAGAGAAAAGGAGAGGTCGTTTATTTTTGTCAAAGTTTACCACTAAACAGGAAACTGCACAGGTCTTTTATTCCCTTTGTTTCTCATGTTTCTTGTTTTTGAGAACCGATTTGGTTTTTATCAATCCTTGTTGAGTTGCTGAGAAATCAACGTATTTAAAACAGTCAGTGTTATTAATAAGACTTTTTGAGTTATCCTGGTACTATGATGTGAATAATTTAGCCAGTAGTGGCACCAAACAATGTGTGAAATGCTATTTGGTTTCCAAACAGGTTTCCCAACCTGTCTGCTCCAGAATGGAACAGACCTAAGCAGCTGACATGGAGACCGGAGCAAACCATAGAAGTGAAATAGGGGTGTTCACATACTGTATTAAGGCACAGGGTGGGAGAGGGATTGAGCTTGTGTGTCTGTTCTATCTCTAACATAGTGGACAAGGAAGGGACTTCCCATCCTTTCCCATGAGCTCATGCTTACAGACACATTCACACACACCCAAATACGCAAACATAGTTCACTATGTCTGTTTGTTTTCTCTTTTTGTTTTTCTTACCATATACACCTTCTTAAAAAGCTACCCCTGCCTTCTTTCTGCATCATTAGTCTGTTGACCTCACTCTTTTGTCATTACACACTACAAACACTGTAAAAACTTTATAGCAACCAGTATCTTTGTCCTTTGTCTTCTTTTTCAGTAAAAAGAATTTGGAAATTATGACAAGAATGATGCTGAGGAATTACATTACACTGATTTTGGATTTTGATAACTTTACAGACTTTTTCAACTTTTTTGATTTATCATACACTTTGTTTTAACGCAAAAAGACTTACTTATATATTTAATTCAGTCCACTTCTCGGCAGAAACACACGTTTATTTCTGTATGGATGACTGATACAGTCCTATCCCCACTCAACCACACTTCCATAAGTTAAAGTAAGTGTATATCCACTTAAACTCTGAGTACATTTTCAGAGAGCTAAACAGCAGGGGAAAATATGATATTTGCATGCTGTGTGGCGCCTGCCAAGGGCTAAATTGGAATGCCTCTGAAGATCATACACTTGATTATTTACTTTATTTGCCTCATCCTCTCGTTTTACGGCAACCACAAAGATGGAAATTCTGAGGTAACACCAAATGAAAAGTTGTATATTGATGCATGTTAGGGCGCAGGGGTGGATTAGGGTCCATGTAATAGCTCTTCCGAGTACATTTTATTGCTTACTACAAAAAAAATGTAATTCTGTGTATCAGCATCAGGTTGAAAATTGCTTTGTATTAGCATTAGCATTTGGTAAGCCCCTAATTCCCCTGTTTCTACAGCTGAGTGTGTTTCTATGCATTTACAAGTGCTTCCGATTCGTAGGAGTTCACTTAAATCTCTTTTTCTGCCAAAGCTATGAACATAATAAACAAGCCAGCATGGCTAAAGTGCCACACGGGGGAGATTGCTAACGAGAAAGTTAAATGCTTACGCTAGTCACACAGTTGTTTATGCGCCCGTGTGCATAACTCCAGAGAGGTTTATAACTCTGCTGTAATTTTTAGAGCGGTAACATCTGAAACGAAAGAATTAGTGCCAGCTTCTCTTTTTTTGTTAATCATGAAAGTGTCAGCATTTTTCTGTATTGTGGAAGTGTGTAATGATAATTCCTTAGAAATACAGTATGGACGATTACAATAATCACAAAAAAATAATGACATTGCCATGGTGCTAATTATTATTATTTTTTTTTTTTTTTAAAGTAATGGTACTGTTAAATAACTGTTGGCTAAATTATGCAAAAATTATGATGTTGTATGATTAGAAACAGTTGAAATTACCATGTTTTTTTTGTTTTTTTTTAAACTAGCTACTTTTCCTTCTAGGTTATTTTTATGTTAGATAATATTTTATCCAACATATCTAACAGTTCTGTGTGTGCAATTAACATAATGTGTACTTCTTTGTATGGACAGTAACTGATTTCACAATGGCATATATCAAAGATATTGCTTTGGTTTTTGATTCATACAAAGGTCTTACTTTTGGACTTGTGCTTTAAGCTAAAAATTTCTAAACTGATTCCAAATTCATTGATATATTTAGTAAACTGAAAATCTTAAAAAGGAAAAGGTGCTAGGCTATTTTATTTACATTTACATTTACATTTAGTCATTTAGCAGACGCTTTTATCCAAAGCGACTTACACATGAGGACAATAAAAGCAGTCAAAACTAACAAAAGAGCAACAATATATAAGTGCAAATGACAAGTCTCGGTTAGCCTAACGCAGTACACGTAGCAAGGTGTATATATATATATATA